TGCAAGCAGGTGGTACAGACACTTGGCACCCAACACCCGCTCGTCTTCCAGTTCGTCAACACCATGAAAGGCTTCTGCACTTGATCTATGCTAAGCTGGACTACAGAATCAGATCTAGAGAAGACAATGAAGGATTACGGAACCAGTCCTAACAACACTTGCTTCTGCACACATAAACACACCATCCTACAAAAAATTATTTACTCTAAATTGAAACATCTTTTAGAAGCAAAAACAGAAAAGATCCTAAATTTGGATCTAAATAGAGTAATCTAGGGGCAGGGGTTTGGCTTAGCACCTGCACCCCACATCAAAGTGCCTGGGTTCCAGTCCTGGCTCTGCTCCCAATTCCAGCTTCCTGCTAATGCGCGCCCTGGGAGGCAGCTGACCATGGCTCAGGTGGTGGGGCCCCTGCCACCTATACGGGAGACCACACTGAGTTTCCGATTCCTGGCTTTGGCTGTCCCAGCTCTGGCTGTTGCAAGTATTCTGAGAGTAAATCCGCAGATGGGAACACTCTGTTTGAATGTCTCTCTCTTTCAAACATTTTAAAAAGGTGACCTTTGTAACCCTGAAAAAAGAAGCAATGTTCTCTATACTGACGTGGAAGATGTTCAGGGACAGTAAATGCAAAGAAAACGCAAACTCTGCCAAACAGCGCGGGTTATGTCATCACCCGCCGGCACAGAATCAGCACAGAAATAGCAAAGCATTGTGGTGATCCTGTCAGCTGCCTCCATGGCGGGACTCCAGCAGATTTTACCTTTATGTTTCTACAGTGTTTGCAAGAAACATCTTGATGCTTCAAATATCATATTTATAAAACCTGGGTCTCTAAAAAAAATGCATTTTGTATTTTTCATCACTGCAAAAATTCAAAACACTTCAATTCAACTACATCTTGTTACAAGAAGAATATCCTCAATGGAAATGTTTCCCAGGGCCAGCACTGTGGCGAAGCAGGCTGAGCTATCTCCTGTAACACCAGCATCTCACATGAGCAAAAAGGCAGAGTTAGAGAGAGAGTAACACAGAGAGAGACTGATCTTCCATCCATTGGGTCACTCCCCAGATGGCTGCAGCTGGGGCTGGGCTGGACTGAAGCCTGGACCTAGGAATTCAACTGGGTCTCTCACATGGATGGCAGGGGCCCCAGTACTTGGGCCACCTTCTGTTGCTTTCCCAGGTGCCTTAGCAGAGAGCTGGAATGGAAGTGGAGCAGCCAGGACTAGAACCAGCACTTATATGGGATGCTGGTGTCACAGACAGCGGCTTAACCCATGGGGCCACAGTGCCAGCCCCAGAATAAATCTTTAAAAAAAAAAATCCCTTTCCAATTCTAATAGGACTGCAAAGCAGAGGGACCTTACTAGAAAATCACGCAGAAGCTCTCACAAGAACACTCTCCCGCAGGCCTGATCCTTGCTGCTCTCTGGAGGTCTCTATGAGAAAACCCACATTCTCTGCACCCTCACGCAGCCCCTGGGGCTTGGCCATGCTAGGGCAGGCACCATGTTGGCAGCAAACGTCCTTGGCACAACAGCACATCAACTTAGCTCCTCAGGGATCAACAGCACGTGGTAAGTCCAGGGTTATCTTTATAATCACATTTTATTTTGCACAAAGTATGTCTTTTGGTGTTTGCAAGAGACTTTAGATTATGAAAACTTATGAGAGGCTCTGAAAATCTTTAGTGTGGATCTCCTGAGCCCTGGAGAGGCTCTGATGAATGCTGGGCCTGGGGACTGCTAGAACCCAGCCAGCAGCAGATGGTAGCCGCCGGCAGGTGAGAGAATCCAGGCGTTTCAGGAATCTTCTGGGTGGGAGGGCGTATAGGCTGAGGGTGCTGTCTCTCCTGGCTCCGTCCCAGCCTTTGGTTCATTACAGCATACATGATCCTCCAAGATGGATCTCGGGCTGCCTAGCAAAGCAGGCAAATTCCTTTTCTGATATTGTTACACACAAACGCGTGCGCACACACACTTACTCACACATATACATACAAATTTATTTCAATTCTTGAAATGAATTTAAGAATTAGCACGGCCTAGGAGTAAGTCAGCCACAACAACTTTTTAAATCACCTCTAAAATAGGTTACTAAACTCAGTGTGGGGAGGGGGAATACCATATGAACAGTCGACGAGAAAGCCTTTCATAAAATTCACAAGGTACAATGGCAGAAGGAGCCAGGGATAACAACTGAAAACCAAAGTTATTATTTTCTTAGCAGATCTGCACCTGTTGGTGGGAACACTAGCAACAAGGCTGCAAGGGATAGGCGCTCAGACCCTTCTGGTAGGTCATAATCAAATAGGAGCGTCGGTAAACTTTTGTCTAAAGATGGAGAGTACAGCAACCTGCAGGCACTTTCAGGGGCAATATCTGTAGCTCACTGAATGTTACCTTCTTGCTAATACCCACTGGTTCCCACACCAGCAGGCTGCTTCCCCAGGAACCCTCCAATCATGTTCCCAGTCCTATGCCTCCTCCTCCCACCAACTGTCAGCCGACATCTTACCAGTTTTGAGTAGCAAGATGCCTTCATCCTACCAGTTAGCCATTAAGTACTGGCTATTTTTGGTGCCAGATAGATGTATAACCCAAAAAATTACATTTCCATTAAAAGACAAGATCCAAGTTGAGGCTACTGCCTAATTCAGCAGAAGTTGAAAGGCAGAAGAAAAAGCAGAGAAGGAAGTGGGTGCTGCTTTAGGACTAGGGACACTAGGGAGATGAGGAGGGCGAGCACCCCAGAGTTACAAAAAAGTCTTCCCACATATTTTTTAACTAATCTAATTGCCAAACTCGTACTGTCCACAAAAATACACATGCTTCTCAACTGCGAGACAGACTTCTTTAGTATCTCATTGTCTTTGAATTGCTAAGCCGTTAAAGCCTATATTCACCCAGCCCATTAAGTAAACCTGAAAAAACCCATTTACAAGAGCCCCTGCACCCACGTGGGAGATACGAAAGCTCCTGGCTTCTGGCTCCACCCTGGCCCAGCCCCGGCAAGTGTGGCCATTTGGGAAGTGAACCAGCAGACGGAACTTATCTGTCTCTTCCTCTCTCCGTGTAACTCTTTCAAATAAATAAATAAATATTTACTCCAAAACTTGCCAGGATATTCTATGCAGACAATGGTGCCCAGTGAGAACTCACTAACAATTATTTGGCTGGGAGGTCAGCAGGCCGGGGTTTCGGCAGAGTCTTTCACCCTGCTGGATGCTGGCACTGTTCTGGGAACGAAGGGGGACGGACCCCTCTTCTTAAGGCTCACAGCCCAAGAAAGGGAAGCACGGGGAGAGAGGTGCAGCTGCCAAGCACCACAGTGCGGCAGCCCTGCATGTATTCATTTTTCTGCTTGGTCAGGAAACGAAATCTACCATTAATATGCTCCTCTTGTAATCCACTTTCGTGCACAGATTCGGCAAAGAAGTGCTGTTAAGTCTTAGGGGTCGCCCTGCCTTTGCCATCCCCTCAACAGCACATCTCGTTGCCACTCCGAGCTGCAGAACTGGTGACCCGGGAGAACAAAACCAGAACTCACGCCTTCAGACTACATCCCACACGCAGCCACCCTCCTCAGACATGTAGCACCACACACCGTGCTGAGAACCATGAAAGAAGCGGTGCTGTGACCCCAAATCAGGGGAGACACAGAGGGGGGAACCCACGTCCGTGAGGGAGGAACCCACGTCTGTGAGGAGGGCCAGGGAGGGCCTGAGGAACTGACGTCTCAGTTGACAGGTGAAGGACAAGGTACCAAAGAAATGTTCCAGGCAGAAGGAACAGTAAGGGATGCCTGTTGGGGGCATTTGGGGAGTGAACCAGTTGAAGAGATCCCCCCCTCCCGTCCCTCCCACCCCCAGCCTTTCCAATAAAAATTTATTAAACCTTTCTTTAGTTTCTACCACGGGTGTGTGTGTGTGGGGGGGGAGCATTTAGACGAATTAACACATAAGTGTAGTGCTTGGAAGCCAATACATCAGTTAAGCAGGATGGAGGTTAGCATCCTATTGAACAGTCAGAAAGCCTCATGGATGAGCTGAGATTTGAAGGAAGCAAGGAGGCAGCCCTGAAGACTGCTGGGAGACGAGTTCCTGGCAGTCTGAATAGGACCACAAAGGCCCTGACACAGGAGACTTCGCGTGAAGGCCGGGAGGAAGTCAAGTATAGCAGAATGAGTATCTAAGAAACTAGTGTGGGAGGAGAACACATACTACAGAACTCTGCCCCCCGCCTCTCAAAATGGGAACCCCCTGGAAGATCTCAAGAGGATGACGAGAGGCATCGTTACCACTGCAACATGGGAATTAAAAGAGCCAGGGTGGACGCATACACCAGACAATAATCCTATCCTACATGGCGGCAGAGGATGGTCAAAGAATGAGATTTAGGATAAGGTTTAGGATAGAGCAGATGCTGGGAGACTTCACAGAGATCAGGTTTGGGATAGATTTTCAAGAGCAGACGGGACTTATCAAGGAGTTTAAATACGGAGTAGTTAGCCCCGGTCCGCACCTTAGAGTAAGCCTGTCTTGATCACAAGGTCCACCTGTGGCACCAACGCCCAGGGCCCAGACCCCTCTTCCTCCGCTAGTGGGTCCTTTCTGGTCTTGCCTCCAAAGAATTACTGGTGTGTCTCCGGAGAGAGACGGAGAGAGAGAGAGAAACGCGCTACACCAAGCCTTTAAGAGTACATCAAGAACCCGGGCACCGAACTCTATGGCAGCAAGAGAGGACTTCTCCGGAGAATCGCCATCTATTCTTTCCCCCTAGTATCCAAGAGCTGCGTGGGGACCAACTACTCTCGGGTGGGCGATGGGGAAACAGCGACCTTTTCTCATCTGACCCCCACCCGCACCCCGTCTCCCGGCAGCAAAGCAGTCACCCTCCTCTCGCCGGGCTGCGGAGCCCTAAGGACGGGCCCCAGGCTCCGGGCGCTCGGCCGGACGAGGCACCGAGACACAATAAGGCCGTGGCGGCCGCCTTTACCTCTCCCGGTCGCGGCCGTCGAAGTAGACGAAATCGCCGCTCTGGACGCACTTGGCGCAGGTCAGCCGCCGGCGGGTGGTGTTGCACAGCGGACACCGCTCGACCGCCACGTACAGCCCCTCCGCGTCGTCCACGGAGTCCACCAGGTCCCGGGCTAGCGGCCGGGGCCCGCAGCCCGGAGCCTCCGGCCCCCGGGCTCCCTTCCCACTGGGAGACGCCATGATGGTCTGAGAGCGGAGCCAGTCACGTGGGATTTTGTTTTCAACCAGGTGCATCCTGGGCGAGGAGGCGGGGCAGGGGCAGGGCCGCGGGGCGGGGCGCGCCGGGGTCCCCGCCAGCCCGGGGCTCAGCCCCCCGGAGCCCTGCGCCGCGCCGGGACCCTTGTCTTAGGGGGCTAGTGCGCCGCACAAAATCTCCTCGGGGCTTCAGGCCAAGGCCACTCGTTAACGCGGCGAACCTCAGCAAAAAAATAGGACGATGCCCCCAAGGATTCTGGGAATAAGACGAGATTCAAGGGCTTTGTTTCATTCCCTGTGTTTTCAAGTTTGGCAAAAACTGGGGCTGGTGCTGTGGCGCAGAACGCCCTGGCCTGAAGCGCCGGCATCCCACGTGGGCGCCGGTTCTAGTCCCGGCTGCTCCTCTTCTGATCCAGATCTCTGCTATGGCCTGGGAAAGCAGTGGAGGATGGCCCAAGTCCTTGGGCCCCTGCACCCACATGGGAGACCAAGAAGAAGCTCCTGGCTTCAGATCAGCTCAGCTCCGGCCATTGCAGCCATTTGGGGAGTGAACCAGCGGATGGAAGACCTCTCTCTCTCTCTAACACGCTCAAATAAATAAAATAAAATAAACCTTAAAAAAAAAAAAAGTCTGGCTAAAACTGTAGGAAAGTCGGGAGGAGGCGGCCTGGGTCGTGGGAGGTTTGGGTCATCCACCTGCTTAACAGCTGTGTGACTGGGGGCAAACTCCTTAACGTCTCTGTGTCCATTTTCTCACGTTCAGCGGACATAATTACGGTACCCAGCTAACACCGCCAGGGTTAAGAAATACAACTACTGGTAATCTAGTAACACTTGACTGATAAGGAGCCAGTGAAGACATCCAAGTCCAAGTCAGTCTGAAAAGCCACGTTACCTAAAGGCCGTCGTCCCTTGCCTACCCCAGACCACACTTAGAGTTTGCGCTGGTACCTTGTTAGGACTTCGCTTCTTGTTTCTTCTGGGTGGCAGTGAGGGGCAGGGGAGGAACACAGTGAAGGGGTGACTCAGAGTTTGAGAATGCCTTTTAACTACAGAGGGAACAAAGGAAAGTGGGTTTGTGGGTCATCCAGCCTGGTGATGGTCAGGGGTTATGTTAGGAGGCTGAGGACTCCCCTCCATTCTCTCCCAAACTCCACTTCTCAGGATTCCTGCCTGCCAGGTGTCAAGTGATACTCCCCAATCCCTGGATACGTGGGAGACACAACTCTACCTTCCCACAAACCTCTTTCCTTACCTTGGCAAAAGGCGTTCCCACTGCACACCTAGGACCAGGCATCAGGGTAGCCCCATCCCTCACTCAACATCTCCATCAACAAAGGCTGCTGACTGTGCAACCTGAAAAGCCCTAAATAGGATCCCTCTGTCCCGCTTCCTCTCAGATGGCCTTACCTAGTGGGTTTTTACACAATTAGATGGGATCCTAAAAGCAAGCAAAAATCCCCTCTATATGTAAAACGGAGCTTCCACTAACCATGAGTGGTCCCTGCAAGTTTAGGGTTTGTTTTTAAGTGAGGGAAATGGTTTTCTCTGAGCCTCCCCCATGAAAGGACTTCAAGGTCTCAGACTTTGCACGCTTCACTTTTATTCTCACAACATCATTTGCAGTGTCCATCACCTCACAGGATCACCTGCTGAATATTTTAAAAGGCAAAATTCAGACGCATTCATTGCTGTCCTGCTGCATTCGTTTCTGAACTGAAATTTCTGTTTATTGTGAAGTGTTTCAGGAGACACATGTTCATGTGTTACAAATTTAACAAGAGCAGAGCACTGAATTCTAACAATACTACAATACCTTTCTAGCAAGGCCCTCATCTCTCCAATTCTGAATTGTTTACTTGCTCAATTTTTAAAATGGCACACAAGAGCCATTTTTAAGTGAGAAGTTTTTTTCACTTTTTAAGGCATGGTTACTCAGAGAATCACCCTTTAAGTCAAAATCTACTTGGAGCACCTACAGTTACAGGTAGAAGCTGCCAGCTGTTTCTTCGCGGGGCTCGTGTCCATTTTCAAACCAGCTTAATGCAAGATGGTGAGTAACAGCCTCAGGCTTTTTTAAAGCCTTTGAGAATAGGATAGATGTTTTCAAATGCTTCGTAGATTTCAGAACGTTCTTTGGCACCTACAAAGAAATCCAAGGGTACATCATCTTTAATATAAAAACAATACCAAAATGTTGTTAACACTAAAATCTCATTGTGTCACTTTTTAAAAAATTATTTAAATTTTAAAAATAATTTTTTAAAAAATTATTTACTTGAGGGGCAGACAGCAAGAGAGACCTCTCATGTGCTGGTTCTGTCCCCAGGTGCTCACAAAATCCAGGACTCCCCCTTCAACCACCACCTGCTGCCTCTCGGGGTCTGTATTTAATAGCAAACTTGAGTTAGGATCAAACCCCGGTGCTCCGCTCTGGCTGTGGGAGACTTAACCAGCATCTTAACTGCTAAGCCAAACACCTGGCCTAGTCAATGACTTTTCATAGGCTTGCACCTCTTTAACAGTGCCTGAGAAGTGAAATTTATTTTTAGTAAAGAATTTGGCAACCACAGTTGTATTTCCAAAAAACTCATACCCTGGAGCAACGTTTCCCGGGGTGGGGGGGTGGGGGTGGGGTTCCATGGTATGGGTGTGGCCTTCAGCCACACTGTGTCAGCGCCTGGGGCACTTAGCTATGAGCCACCGGGACTCACTCTGGTCTCTGGTTAACAGCCTGAGGCCCTAAGAGTGACTACAGATTGAGGCAAACTGGAAGAAGCTTTTCTAGAGTTTTAAATTTCAGTGTATAGATAGATGGGATCATTAGGGACAAAAATTGTACCACTGTCACTCTTAATTGCAGGTTTCAAGGGATTTAAGTATAGCATAATAGCTCTGGGATTCAGAAGGATACAGCGTGACTTAGACAAGTCTCCACCCTTGGGGAATCTCATCCATCAGTCCCCACTCATCGCTTGTCACCTTCTGCCACCTCCATAGCACGCAGCTCATTGTGCTGGGGCCGCGGGCTGGGCCTCCTGATGGTTCTGTACCAGACACTTACCGGCTGCCTTCCTGGGTAAGAGGAGGAGGAAGAGGTGAGTGAAAGGAATATGAACATTGTTAGCCTGGAGAGAATGAAAAGCAGCTTCTGTCGATAAAGACTTTCCCGAGCGCTGTCAAGTTGGGAGGGAGGGAGGCTTCAGTAGAAGAAACAGCCCCTGGTTTAATTATAGGGCTCAAGAGAAGAAAGGACCAACAGGACCACGACCAGGTTCAAGAGGCAGGTGGAAACTGGGATTTGGAAGCCAGGATGAGCCATATGAATTTTTTTTTTTTTTCCTAGGAGACAAACATGACAACAAGCAAATGGAGAAAGCAAAACCCTGGTGTGTTGCTGGCGGGGGTGTCAGAGGGTTCAGCGGTTTGGTGGGTCTCTCAAAGGTAACGAGTGACCTCATGACCCGGCACGTCTGACTTCCGGGCAAACACTCCCCCAGGCCGAAACCACCTGCGCTTCCGTCGCACGCTACTCAGTGCCACCCCCGTGCCCGAAAGGGGAAAGGACACAAGTGTGTGGTGTGTCCAGACACCAGAATACCGCTCAGCCATCAAAGTCAGGGTTGACGCACGCCACTACACAGATGCAGCTCAGAGACATGCCAAGGAAAGTGTCTTAGACGCAGAAGAACACAAGGCCGATGACAGGAAACACCCAGTATAGGTCAGTCCACCGCAACAGAATGCCAGGGGCCGAGGGGCAGGGGACTGCAGGGAAGCTGGTTAACGGCACGGGGTTGTATTTTGGAGCACAGGAAACATTCTAGAACTAGACAGAGGTGGTGGACATCCACAGCGCACAATGCTGGGAACGTGCTACAATGCCACGGAACTTTATAAAGTGGTTGAATTATTGTCGTGTGAATTCTACCTCAAGTTTAAAAAAATGTAAAGAATCAAGCATGAAGTCCTCATCAACTTGATTTTTTTTTTTTTTTTTTTGGCTAGGTCAGTGCAAAACATTGCCAAGGAGCCTCTTATCTGTGGGACTCCACCTGGCAGCGGGGGGTGGGGAGGAGGCGAGTTACTGACACCCGCATGAAAAATTCTGTGCCTCAGCCCAAACATGTTGGTCCCCAAAGAGAGACTGGTCTGTAGGAGCCAAACAGAGTTTCTGGCCGCAGTACGTGAGGGGCTATTACAGAAGAACCTGCCTTTGGTTTTATCAGCTTTTGTCGCTCCGGGAGGCAATTGCCTGGAGCAACCTTCTTAGTGGACAGTAAGACAGGACAGATGTAGCAAACAGGCGAGGATAACTCAAAAAGCTGCTGGAAAATGGAAACAAAAGGGGATCTGAGTACAAAGCACATTTGAAACCCATGCTCCTGCCATCGGATCAGTGCGGTGCGCCGGCTGCAGCGCGCCACCCGTGGCGGCCATTGGAGGGTGAACCAACGGCAAAAGGAAGACCTTTCTCTCTGTCTGTCTCTCTCTCACTGTCCACTCTGCCTGTCAAAAAAAAAAAAAAAAAAAAAAAAGTCCAGGAAATATTATGAGAAAACTGTGCAAGGATTTCAACCGTGTTGGCACCAAAATAAAGTTTGCATTCCATTTCCGCAGCAACCACGGTGTGGGGAGGTGGGGGGTTGTCCTCTATCCACCTCTAAATCCAATCCAAGCCTCTCCTGGTTCCATGTCGTTGAGGACCAGTGTGTCCAGGGATAACCATGGACTTCACTTTGTACCATTTTTCCTAAAGCACATAAAACAATCACGTCTATATGCATTCAGGCTCCGACCTCTGTCTGGACATCCATCACTTCCTTTACAGCAGGGCCGTCAACAAAACGTTGTATAAAATTGAGGAGATTTGGTCAATTTTGTCAAATAATTCTTCAGTTAAATATTGGCATCAAAACTTCCAAGGAACCTAAACTGGTGCCATAGTCCTGGTAACAGTCACCAAAACTCCAAGTGGCAGCACCAGGCTCCAATCAGATGGCCCTTGCCTTGAAAGCAGGATGTAACCCATCCTTTTCTTCTGGCTGTGACGGCTGCCACTTGGGGGGCAGAAACAACTCTCCCTAACCTCCTGCCCCTCGGCCAGCCCAAGTACTGACCTCTAGCACCACTTGGGCTTTCCAGTTCTCTTCCTACACCAAGTCCGAACAACACATCCTACTTCCCCAGATGATGCCACATTTGCCAGAATCTTGCAAATTAAAATTATATATACAAACTCCTCAAGCTATTCACCTTACTGTATACACCAACCTGTTAGATTACTGGTAACCAGGACAAGGATATTCATTAACGTCTGCCCATGGTTCTGCTTTCTCTGACCTGCTTATCCCCAAGAACCACTGATGGCTAGCTGACAGGAGGTGTCTCCTGCACCACAGTGACCCGGCCTCGTCACCCTCGATGCTGAAGACATGGGTATGTGGGAAGCATCTTACACAAGCCTCTTTAGATGCCACCTTCCTAGCACCAGGGCAAGGCATCACTGTAAATCCCATGCCTTTTAATGATGAGGAAAAGCCCAGGAAATTGGGTTTTCAAGGAGATTAACAGCCAGCTAATGTTTATACCACGTGCCAGACACTGTTTTCTTCTAACAACTTAGGAGTTGCCATGGCCATGTGCACCTGACACATATGGAAACCAAGGTGGAGGATGTCAACTCATCCAAGGCCGCACAGCCCACAGTGGTAGGGCCTGGATTCAGACTGGACGCTGGGCTCCAGAGTCCCTCTGTCACCACTGTGCCTGCTCAGCCGCCATCAGCCGACAAGGAGAATTAGGAACAAAGTGCACGAGACACTGCACAAGTGCTTTCTTGGACTGCAGCCAGGGCAGCGTAGTGAGGACGGTGGGCCCTGGGGCCAAGCACACCCACTGCCACTGTGCGGCTGCACGTACAGCTGTTTGACGTATAGAGCTTTCATGTCCCACGTCCAGGGAAGCACAGAGATCAGTACACTTCCTGAGTCACCGATCTCATATAAAGTCTACCTAGGTGGCATTGGCCTAGCACTTACATTGGCTCATCTGGGGTCAAGTACTGGTTCGAGTTCCCTGCTGATGTGCTCCCTGGGAGGCAATGGTGATGGCTCACGTTCATGAGTCCCTGCCATTCACATGGAAGACCTGGGTCGAGTTCCTGGCTCTAGGTTTTGGTCCTGGTCTGGGGCCACTGTGGGCACCTGGGCAATGAACCAGCAGGTGGTGGCTCTGTTTCTCTGTCTCTCAAACAGTAATTTCTAAGAAGTCCATCCTTAGCACCGTGCCTGGCATTTGAGTGCCCACGCACACGTTAACTGTTCTTATGATCCTGGGAGTGAAAGTTGACATTTTGCTCTTCACTGTATTATTCCAGGAGGAAGATATACTATTACATTTAGTATGGCTTGAGAAAAAACTCGGGTCTGAAATGCCACACCAGCCACAGCCAACAAGCCTGGAGCTGGAAAAACAGCTTGCGCTTGGCCCAGGGCCCCTGCGTTCTGGTGGCTGAGAGTATGACAAGGCAAGATGCTGGGCCTCTTTGTGCTCGGCACACTGTACTGCCACGTTCACATGCAGCCATGCACATGGTGCCCGGAGCTCTGCAGAGAACTTCACGGCAGTGAAATATTGCTAAGGCCCTACAGCAGTATAATGGCTTCAAGTAGCCATGAGTGTGCGTGCCCTGTGCGCCGGGACTCTAGCGTTCCTACCAGGGGAAGAGCTGGGATTCCTGGCTTTCTACAAACTCAAAAGGCATTTGTCATTTCAATATGCTCCCATCTTCTAGGCAAGAGTTACTCTCTTTGTCGGTCCCTTGCTTGCAAGGTATCTATGCAAAGAGTCCTGTTTGACCACGCTGCTGGAGGCCAAGCGGGAGCCTGTAGCACTTTAGCCAGCCACCCGACCCCAGCACCCCAGCTTCAGTGCAGAGGCAAGGCCAAAAGGAGACTTTGTTGATTCCTTTCTCTGGGTGTTTACGTACCCCAAACTGGGTCCTTGGGTTTTTAATGTCTTTGTGGATGAAGGGAGTCTAGGAACCTTAGATTCAGGAGTAGGAACACTTGTCTCTAGGGATGAGGCACAAGTGATGTAACCCTGCACGTAACGCTTCGTGGCGTAGTTTGAGGCCACGTGGCATACACAGGTAACAACACTCATGGATGATGCTTGCTCCTCATTGCAGCAGACTTTCACTTCACAAGAGAAGAACTGGGATCTCAGTGAGCACATGTCAGCCCCTCGTCCACAGAATGACGATCCACAACTTGCAAGAATGCAGACATTGAAACCTGCCTATTCTGAGTGATTGACACAAATTTTAGGTAAGTGTGTTGAATGGCTTTCATTATCTTATGTCAACAATACTCTTTTGTTGTTTGAAAACTTCTAGCAAATATGTGCCTGAAAGCTTTTTTTTTTTTTTTTTTTTTTTTGGTTTGTTTGGGGTAAGTGAAATCACTAATGTGATTTGAGGATCTTTAAGGAAACCTTTAATAGGAACTTAGCCTGTGTTTGCCAATTTATACTTTGAGCAAGACTGATTATATCAAAACTAAGAAGCTTCTGCACCGCCAAAGAAACAATCAGGAGTGAAGACACAGCCTATGGAATGGGAGAGAATGCTTGCAAACCATTCATCTGACAAAGGATTAAAATCCAGCATATATAAAGAACTCCCCAAAACTCAACTAAAAATTAAAAATGGAAAATGATACGGCTGGACCACTCACAAGGGGACATTCCAATGGTCAACAAATTTATGAAAAAATGCCCACCGCCATTAGTGGACAGGCAATGCAAATCAGAACTACAGCGAGGGGCTGGTGTTGTGGCATAGCAGGTTAAGCGGCCACCTGGGACTCTGGCACCTACTGTGTGAGTCTTGGTTCGAGTGCTGGCTGCTCTGCTCCCAATCCAGCTCCCTGCTGCCAATGTGCCTGGGAAAGCAGCAGAAGATGGCCCATGGGCTTGGGCCCCGAGGAGACCAGGTAGGAGTTCCTGGCTCCTGGCTTTGGCCTGGCCCAGACCTGGCTGTTGTGACTATTTGGGAAATGAGCCAAATAGGATGGAACAGAGATCTCTCTTTCAAATAAACAAACTAAAAATGTTAAAACTTCAATGAGATATCATTTTACCCTAGTTAGAATGGCTACTACCAAAAAGAGGTAAACAACAAATGTTCACGAGGATGCAGAGAAACAAACTCCTGTGCACCGTTGGCAGGAATATAAATTAGCATAGACATTACAGAAAACAGTATGGAAGCTCCAAGAAAACTAAAAACAGAGCTGCCATGTGCAGTGAGCTAGCATGCTTCGGGGTATATATCTCCAAAAGAAATGAAATCAGCAAATCAAAGTGATGCCTGCCCTCTCATATTTATTGCTGTGCCAGTCACAAGAGCTAAGATATGCAATCAATCTAGATTGATCTGGCAGATAAGACTCCAAAAGCACAGGTAACAAAAACAAAAGTAAGTGAAAGGATAAAGTGATAAAGAGAAGGTTATGGGGCCAGTGCTGTGGCTAAGCTTCCACCTGCAGCACTGGCATCCCATATGGGTGCTAGTTTGAGTCCCAGCTGCTCTTCTTCCAATCCAGCTCTCTGCTATGGCCTGGGAAAGCAGTAGAAGATGGCCCAAGTGCTTGGGCCCCCTGCACCCATGTGAGAGACCTGGAAGAAGCTCCTGGCTCTGGTTCAGCTCAGCTCTGGCCATTGTGGCCAGTAGATGGAAGAGCACTCGCTTGCTCGCTCGCTCTCTCTCTCACACACACACGCTACCTCTCAAATAAATAAGTAAATCTTAAAAAAATAAAAAGGTTATGTTTATACACAATGGAATACTATTCAGCCAGTACAAAAGAACATTTCATCACTTGCAGTCAAATGGATGGAGCTGGAGGACGTCGTGTCAAGGGAAAGACAAGTGCATGTTCTCTCGCGTGAGCAAGCTCCACAAAAGGCCAGAATGTAGAGCAGAGATCACTGGAGGTGGGGAAGGTGGGGAGGGAGAAAGGAGAGCAGGAGGTTGGACAACAGCTACTGCAACATGGTTAGATGGAAGGAGTATGCTCTAGTATTCACAATAGCCTGTTGTAGATTTTCTAAGCAGACGGAGGAGAGGTGCGCGCTCAGATGTGATGATGGGGACAGGGAAACGTTGATTGCTTTGATTTGATTGGCACATATCATGTATATTTCTTCAATGTCACACTGTACCACATGGAGATGTACAATGGTAGAGAGTTAATCCGTGTTTTTAGGTGTTAAGGAGATGGAAATACTAACTAACCTGACTCGATCAGCACCCACTGAGTACACAGTTTGAATTATCACACTGAACTCCATAAATATGTACAATTAAAATAATTTTTTAAAAGTCACTAATACAGCAAAGAGTAATTATCTGTAAGATTTCAGTGGACTCACCCAAATCCTTAGAAAAAAGAAAAACCAAGTAGATACAGAGAATTATGTGCACATTATTCATAAGAGATTAAATGCTACTTGTTCATTATGTTGAAAATGATAGATATTCTATTTCTGATTATCAGTGGGGTTAAAGCAGTAAGATAATTTTCACTTGTACAGTTAAAGTTTTCTTTTATACCATCTTGTTTTGAATGCTGAGGGTTTAGTAAGAGATACTCAAATTCATCACTGGTTGGAACATAGTATCTAGAAGAACTGTATGGTACAGCCCTTTAAATGGATTTGGTCATTTGTGCTAAAAACCTTAGAAACAGTCATATTCTTCAAGATTTCTGAGCATCTACACTAAAAAAATAATTCTCTTCACATACAAATACCCAAATCTCTATGCCATTTATAAGTAGTAGATGGACAAGGAATACTTAAAGTATCTGACCATGTGAGGCTAAGTTAGACTCACTAACGTGTTAGAACACAGGGCAGGAAACGTAGGTGGGCCAGCCAAGGTCAACCCACTACGTGAGCCTGTGAGCTAGCAATTTCTTTATTGTTAAGTGGTTGGGGGCAGGAAATAAAAGTCAAAAGAATAACATTGATATAAAATTCACACTTTAGGGCCCGATTCTCTGTATAATGTCCATGGTTACTTTCACATCGCAATGCCAGAGTTCAGTAGTTGCGATGGACTCTGTGGTCCACAAAGCCTAGAATAGTCCTGACTTCCATCTTAGAACAATGTGCAGGCATTGGAAGTCTCTAAGAAGAGTTTGTGATAGCAGGTTAAGCTGGCTGTGTTATAACTGCTAATAAAAAGGCAGAATGCAAAGACGAATACACCATCTCAAATGACAGAAACACGAACAAGTCACTGCTTTAGGTATTGCCTGAGCAAAGCTATTGACAAGGAAAAGCAAAGCACACACGGAACTATTGAGTTTTATCAAAGTCAGAAAATAATCTTAGATCTTACCTGTCAACACAACTTTTCCAGATACAAAGATAAGCAACACAATCCTTGGTTTTACCATTCTGTAAATAAGGCCTGGAAACAGCTCAGGTTCGTAACTGTTAATACACAAAGGGAAAATGTTAAAAATAGCACTAGTCATCTATTTTTCCATAACATTCGAGACCCAGCATATTAAGTGACACCTCCAAGCAGTTCTAAATCAGTGCTATTTTACCAAAAACCTCTCGGCTCTCTTGGTAAGTGCAGAGTCTTGAGTGTCCTATGTAATTTCTTATGCTGGTGGAGCTCAGAATTAATTTTGGGTTATAATATCCTTTCAACTATCCTAAGTTATTGGAAATGAAGGTAACTTAGGGCATCAGATTTAGTGTGTTAAGATTTTGTCAGATGAATGTTCTCATCTTTCAAAAAGAAGCCTGCCAACAAGAGTACACAAATGTTTTTCTTGATTTTCCAAGTTACCAATAAGCATATTTTAAATACATTTATAAACTGCTAAATATATTTTGCAGATAAACCTAAAACAATTTTGACCACTGCTCTTTGTCTTTGGATAGGTGCTATGCAAAGAAAGGAAACTAAATCCCACTTTTTTAAATTCAGGATTTGTCCCTGTAAATAGTAACCCACTGATGTTTGCTACTGAGTGGAAGCCATTTCTCCATGGAGCAAAGGATGATGGGACTTAAGAACTGCCTCTTGGCAGAGTCCAGAGAAGAGGCCAGAAACTGCAAAGACCAGAGGAGCCTACTAACGGCCAGGCAGGAGGGAAGCAGCAGAGCTGGTAGAACAAAATTATCAGAACAATGGCTAATGGAACAATGCTACAAGAAAAAGAAATAGGAGGGACTGAACACATGGTACACACGGATCTTTGCACTTTGTGGGCAAATCCAGATCACCTGGCAAAGCTCCACTCAATTCTGAACTAGCCAAGACCCCCACCAACAGCAGATGCGAAACCGCTTGTTAGCACCTGAAAGGGCATCACCATCGCAGGAGGGTGGGCGCGAAGGTCACCGTGGGCAGGCCTGTCCCACTGGAACATCACTGTGCCCTATTGCCAAAAGCCCGTCAAGGATTCCACCTGCTAATGGCTTTCTGACACTGGGGAGACCAAGATCTGAGCTGGAGCCCTGAGAACCGATCCCCCCTGCCCCCAACTACAAAATCCAGCCCAAGAAAATGAAGGCAGGGACACAGAGGATTTTCACTTGACCTTCCAGCTGACTCTGAGGACTGAGAATACAGAAAACAAAAGACCCCAGTGTATCAATGATGAATCCCACCTGGTTTCCAGAAAGAGTTTTAAAGTTACCAGCATAATGAGCTCCCCAATTAGAGGTTTTATTTATTCTCTGCTTCATTCTAAATCGCAGTTAAGGTAGAGGAAAGAGTAGTTTTACTCAGGGATGGAGAATATTTCATGGGTTGAGAATATTAAACATTTGTCAATGTTTTGGCCAGCCCAACTTCTACTTAATTCTTTCAACCTCACTGTAGGTGTTACTTCCTCCAGGAAGCCTTCCTTGACCTTCACCTGGTTACATTAAATATCTTGCTTGGTCCTATAGCACCATGAGAAGCCTTAATGTCATAGTTATACCTCATGACTATAATTGATCCCTTTATTTTAGCAAGTACTCTGTGGGCAAGGGGCTTGACCTTATCAACTGCCATTATCACCTTAGCATCTGCTACACGGTAGTGACCTAGATTTTATTCACTCAACTAATGTTTATTATGAGGCTATTTTTTAATTAAAAATGAAAGGGAAAGGGGGAAAATGTTCACAGAAAACCATAAAGGTGACTATGGCATAGAAAGATGGATAGAGAAGGAGCTGAGTAACACAGGATAAACACTTGTTATTATTAACGTGTATTTTTAGATATTGACATACACATTTGCAAAATCTCTGGCATTAGGCGAGTCTGAGGTTTTCACACAAGGCACACGTGACCTGACAGTTATAACTGACATGTGCCATGGTTCTCTGCAGAGAAGGCAACCAGAGAGAGGCCTTGGGGCCGGTGCTTTGGCCGTCTGGGGAGTTACAGGAGATGGAAGATCTGTCTCTCCCCCTCTCTAACTCTGCCTTTCAAATAAATAAATGAATCTTAAAAAAAAAAAAAAAAGGCAGGATCAGGAAAAGGCTAGAGGCCCACGACTCGAGCTTCTGGCAGATGAGGTAATGAACTATAGACAGACTCTTAAAGATGCAGGGTTCACTCTAAATCTACGAGTTACCTCAAGCCTAAGAAGGCGATACCTCCAGTGGCAATACTCCTTCCGTGGGGGAGAACTTCCCAGTGAGCTCAGAGTTCCGAAAGATGGGGCATATCCTGGGCGTTCAATAGGCACATATTGACAAAGAATGGATGCAGATGAGGGAAGGAAAATATAACTGGAAAAAGAAATATAACCGGGCCGGTGCTGTGACGCAGGTTAATCCTCTGCCTGCAGCATCAGCATCCCATATGGGTGCCGGTTCGAGTCCCAGATGCTCCTCTTCCAATCCAGCTCTCTGCTATGGCCTGGGAAAGCAGTGGAAGATGGGCCAAGTCCTTGGGCCCCTGCACCCGCATGGGAGACCCAGAAGAAGCTCCTGGCTCCTGACTTCAGATCAGCTCAGCTCCAGCTATTGCAGCCATTTGGGAAGTGAACCAGCGGATGGAAAACCTCTCTGCTCTCCCTCTGTCTGTAACTCTACATCTCAAATAAAATCTTAAAATCCTACCTTTAAAAAAAAAAAAACCACCAAGACAAACACTGCCCGATGCATATCATGAGAGATAAAAATTAACATTTTTAAGAGAAAACAATTTGGCTTCTGTTCAGATCAATGTAAAAGGAAAGCACCCAGATGTTAGGGAAAGCACAGCTGTATGACCCCATCCACTGGCGCTAACAGAATGACTGCTCGACGGGAGAGAGAAGGTAAAAGTCTGGCAGGAAAGGGCTTGAGCTCAAGCTTGACAAGAGAATTTGAGAGAAGCCAGCATCGTGGTGCAGCCGATTAAACCTGGCCTGAGACGCCAGCATCCCTTAAAAAAAAAAAAAAAAAAAAAAAAAAAAAAGGCAACTGAGAGCACTGTGCTTCTACCTGGCCAAGTGCCTTCATCCCAGGTAGGTGTTCATCCCAGGGGAGGAGGAGGCACCCTCCCTCATGGCTCCCTGATGGCCTGGGCTGGACGGAGACAGAACAAAGCCGCTGAGGACAAGGGGGGAGCCCTGGCTGTAGAGACGGGAAGTTGTGTTTGAAGAATCCAGGCAGGCGAGCGATTCTCCCCTAGGGTGGGGGCTACAGCTACCCAACAAGACATACCCCCAATCAAACACAGCAGCACAAAACGACATAGGCTTGCTTTCAGAGAGTATGCGTTTTCGTTTTGTTTGTTCTTAAATCTTCCCCACAACCCTTTCCCACTTGCCTAACCCATCTCATACCCCTTTGTTTCTGCACTGCCAGCAGCATTGGCAACACCTGTGAGCTTTTGGGGGCTGCAATTTAAGCAAAATCTCTGATGAGGAAACCTAGCCAGGAATGTGTGCGTTTCCCGTGCTGTCCAGGTAGTTACAACGCGATTTCAGGTTCAAAACTGTTATCTTGAAAGATTGTACACGTAGGGTCACCCGTGAGGACAAGGGCACAGCATCCCAACCCATGTGCACCTTCCGTGCTCCCCCGCCTGCTAACAGCCACACCCCCTCTGAAAGACCCAGTCTGCAGGCAGCCCGTGGTGTCATTTAACGCCCTGAACTCCAAGTTCAGCTCCGTAGCCGCCATACCTACTGAACTGCTGATGGGTTAGCACCAAGCCCTCCAGCCTGATGGGAAATCGCACATCACAGCTCCCGACCATGTTCTGAATTTTGAAGTCGAGGAATCTGGCGGGGTACCCGAGCTTCTGCACCACGCGGGCGTACTTCCTCGCTGCGAGTCGAGACTGCTCTTCGCTGGGGAGGGGCAGACACGGGGGAGGCGTCTCGGTCACTGGGCCCTGCACACGGCGTCTGCTGCACTCACACACTTCTCACTGATCTTACCCTTCCTCTGCAGCTTCACCCGCTTGTCCTTAAGTGAGGAAGGGGCTCTGCCCACCAGACTGCCCTGCCCGAGCTCCTATGAAGCGCGCGAAACGCACTTGTCTCCGTTGGTCACTTTCCACACAGGAGGTACTTTTGTCTTTCAAGTGCTATTTCAGTGCTAAAGTATCGTTCAATAGAATTCACTATTCTACTCATTCTCAAAGTGGAGCCTCAGGCTGGCAGCAGGCGACTGGGAGCTTGATAGAGAGGCCAGGTCGGTCCCAGGCGTGTAGACACCCTGGGGAGGTATTTAACCAGTCCTCCAGATACCTGCGATACTGAAGCTCATGAACCAGCTATCTATCAAAAGTACATGCTATCTATCAAAGTACATGCTATGCTGATGGGAAGACAACAAAAATAAGACAAACACATCCCCAAAACACCATCAGGGAGAGAGATACGTGCTCAGTGAGTACAGACGTACTGCGAGGACTGAGGTCTCTATGGGACAAAATGCTTCTCCCCGCTCCCACCCCAAGAAAAAAGAAACCCCACTTCCAAGCCAGCTCCCTGCTAACGCTCCTGGGGAAGCAGAACATGACCCACATGCTTGGGCTCCTTCTACCCACATGAGAGACCTGGATGGAGCTCCAGGCTCCTGGCTCTGGCCTGGCCCAGCCCTGGCTGTTGCCACTATTTAGAGTGAACCAGCAGATGGAAGCAGTCTCTCTCCACATTTTGAATGAATAAATGAGTGATTGAATCTTAACAACAACCACCACCACCACCCACCACTCGAAAGCAAGCAAGGCCAGTTTGAATTTGCTGGCCTGAATCAAAGGAAGTGTTTGGTTCTCTTAATGTGGATCCTTGGCTAACACTGGCCCTTCTTATGTGTATTAATTACTTCATTACTTTGCTTCACGTAATGTTGATTCTTCCTTCCCACTTCTAACTCCTGAAATGTCCTAGTAAGGCCATGTCTCCAAGTGAGCTCGTGAAATCAACTGTTTCCTTTTTTTTTTTTTAAGATTTACTTATTTGAAAGTCAGAGTCAGGCAGAGGCAGAGGCAGAGAGAGAGAAAAAGAGAGGGGCTAGCGCTGTGGTGCAGTGGGTTAAAGCCCCAGCCTGCAGCGCTGGCATCCCATATGGGCACTGGTTCAAGTCCCTGCTGCTCCTCTTCCCATCCAGCTCTCTGCTATGGCCTGGGAAAGCAGTAGAGGATGGCCCAAGTGCTTGGGCCCCTGTACCCGCATGGAGACCTGGAGGAAGCTACTGGCTTCGGATCAGCTCAGCTCTGGCTGTTGCAGTCATTTGGGGAGTGAACCAGTGGGATGGAAGACCTCTCTCTCTCTGTAACTCTTTCAAATAAATAAAGTGATTCTTTAAAAGAGAGAGAGAGAGAGAAAGAGCGCGAGCTTCCATCTGCTGGTTCACTCCCCAGATGGCTGCAGTGGCCAGAGCTGCGCTGATCCGAAGCCAGGAGCTTCCTCTGAGTCTCCCAAGTGGGTGCAGGGACCCAAGCACTTTTGCCATCCTCCATTATGTTTTTCCAGGCCATAGCAGAGGGTTGGACTGGAAGTGAAGCAGCCGGGACTTGAACTGGTGCCCATCTGGGATGCTGGCACTGCAGGCGGCAGCTTTACCCGCTACACCACAGCACTGGCCCCAACTCTTTCCATTTTTAATAACTACATTCTGCCTAACTGACCCATTATACATCCCACAAAGGTAATAAGTACAAATTCTGGGAGTATGTGTAGTCCTGTAGTTTCTTGGAACATCAGATCTGATTATCACACCGAAACAACAATTCAAAGTCTACATACATGTTCATGTTCATTGTGCAAACATTAGAAGCCCTATCTCACCATCAGTGGTGATAACTACTTAAACTTGACCTTTCACATTCTTCCTATGCAAACACAGTTACTCTTCACTCTTGTTATTACAACTAAGGAGGATGGGTTTGGATACATTTTTGGAGATAATAGTAAGATCTCTTTTTTTATTTTATTTTATTTATTTTTAATTTGACAGAGTTAGACAGTGAGAGACAGAGACAGAGAGAAAGGTCTTCCTTCAGTCGGTTCACCCCTCAAATGGCCACCATGGCCAGTGCAGCGCCAATCCGAAGCCAGGAGCCAGGTGCTTCCTCCTGGTCTCCCATGCAGGTGAAGGGACCCAAGGACTTGGGCCATCCTCCACTGCACTCCCGGGCCACAGCAGAGAGCTGGACTGGAAGAGGAGCAACTGGGACTAGAACCTGGCGCCCATATGGGATGCTGGCGCCACAGGTGGAGGATTAACCAAGTGAGCCATGGCGCTGGCCCCAAGATCTCTTTCACTAGCCACATTTTCACAACTCACTAATGCAAACTCAAAAAAAAACATATAGATTTGGACAATAGGTATCTTATTTTCTGCACTCACTATTCTAGGGATTCATGATCAGCTTTTAGGAACCAAATAAATTCAAACAGGGAAAGATTCACACATGAGGAATATGAGCATATTTTACACATAAGTCGGACAGCAAGCCTGCGATCCAGTTGTTTTCCACACTACAACTTAAGGCAATGTGACCACCCTTCTAATTCAACAAGTGTGCACAAGACTAATGCGATTTTACTTTGTGGTTTACAATAAAAATCCTAGTGGTAAATATTTAATTTGGGGCAGCACTTGTGGCATAGATTGAGCCTCTACCTGCAGTGCTGGCATTCCCATGGCACCGTTTCGAGTCCCGGCTGCTCCACTTCCGATCCAGCTCCCTGCTATGGCCTGGGAAAGCAGTGGAAGATGGCCCAACTGCTTGGGCCCCTGCACCCACGTGAGAGACAGAGAAGAAGCTCCAGGCTCTTGGTTTTGGATCAGCCCAGCTCTGGCCATTGTGATCACTTGGGGAGTGAACCAGCGGACAGAAGACCTCTCTCTTTCTCTGCCTAATAAATAACTCTTTTAAAAGTAACTTCCTGATTTAAATAATGCTGAAATGAACATCTTGCAGATTTCTTGCAAAACTGCCCAGTAATCACTAAACATCAAGATTTCTGGGACTAGGGATCCACAGATTCCTGGAAGGGAAAGTACAGACGTTTGCTCAGACACAGGTAAAATGCTTGATAAGTACAAACAGGTGGGGGAAATGGGGTAGAAATGGATTTTTCCATTAATGTACTGAGTACCAACTGATCATAAAGAAATGATCTTACATTGAAATAAAAATTGAGACCTGCTTTGTCCAACTGAATTATAGATTCAGTCCCTCAGTTGATCAGTGGCTACACATGGGTGGAAAAGACCTAGAACACTTCTATCATCATCTAGAGAAAGGTCTAGATGAGTCAAAATGCCAACTATCCTCTCCCCTTTACAAAGTGACACCCGAAAATACCAGAAAAAATACATGAAGTATATGTATAATATTATGCATGAGGAATGCCTTCCTAAGCATGAAGACAAAGAAGCCATAAAGAAAAAACTAGATAGACTACACATAAAAAATTTAAATTGTGTTTTTAGAAAAACACAGAACAGCATAAACAGTAATAAGTAAAAATCTTTACAGTATATAAAGTGGTAAGAATACTCAATTATAAAAGTTATTAACACATCAAGTATCTCCATAGAATACTGGGCAAAAAACATTACTAGCAATTTGTACTATTATGAACACTTAATCTCACTAGAAAATGAAATAAAGCAACTTTTTTTGCCAATCAACTTATCAAACATGGAAAAGAATATTGACACCTGGCACTCCTAGCAGAAAATAGACACTTAAGACATTACAAAGAAGGGACGAGTGATGTGACATACCAGGTTAAACCGCTGTCCCATATGGGTGCCAATTGGAGTCCTGGCTGCTCCACTTCCAACCCAGCTCCCTGCTAAAGGCCTGGGAAAGCAGTTGAAGGTGGCCCAAGTGCTTGGGCCCCTGCCTCGCATGTGGGAGACCCAGAGGAAGCTCCTGGCTTCAGCCTGGCTAAGCCTTGGCTGTTGTGGCCACTTGGGGAATAAACCAGCAGATGGAAGACCTATTTCTCCTGTCACTCATTCAAATAAATAAATCTTTAAAAGAAAAAGGAGAGAGGAGACACTGGCACAGTCTTTAGGGAGGACAACATGCTACCCATCTTTGTGACACAGGGAGGAGCAGCTCTCTCACTAGCTTGATGGCGACAGGACACACTCGCTGCAGGCACAGGTGTGCGTTGCATGAGTGCACGAAGAGCCAGCGTTTGAAGGGACGCCACCTGAACTAGTGCTCAGGCTAAGAGCCAAGAAATGTCCACTTTCCCTTCTTTAGAAAGTCCTGCCCGTTTATCTGGAGGGAGGAAACCCCACAGCAACTTCCTCCCCAGGCTTACTGCCTGCTGTCTTTCTCCACAGCTTTTGGAGAAATGCCCCTTACAAACAAATCACAGTAGCCCAGATAAGCGTCCTGGGTTCTCTGGGGGCATGGGGACTGTGAGATGTGGGGGTGTAACTCAACCTCGTGAGGACTGAGCGTGCCCAGGAGGGCCCCCTCGTACCTTTTGGCTCCCGTGCAGACCATTTTGCCAGAGCTAAATATGAGGGCCGTCGTCCGGGGCTCTCGGATCCTCATGATGACAGCAGCAAACCTCTGTGCACGGAAGCCAAGAGCAAAATTAGCCTCTGCCAGGAGTCAACACCCACCCAGTGGAGAAACTGTGCTGCAAATTAAACGGATCTCTAAGAAACTGTGATCGGATGGGAAAACTAGCCCACAGCTGAGTCCCGTCTCCGCCACTGAACGTGACAGAAGTCATTACGGGGGATGGCACTGGGATGCACCAAGCAGGTTAAGCCACTGCTTGAGATGCCCAGATTCCATGGCAGAGCGCTGGTTTGAGTCCTGGCTTCTCTGCACCTGGGAAAGCAGCAGGCGCTGGCTCCAGTGCCTGGGTCCCTGCCACTCATGCAGCAGACCCGGATGGTGGTCCTGATTCCCAGCTTCAGCCTGGTCCAGTGCTAGCTGTTGCAGTCACTTGGGGAGTGAACCAGTAGATGGAAACATTCTGCCTTTTAAAGAAAGAAAAAATTGTTTTTAAAAATGATTGGGAAAAAAAGACCAGGCTAAGAATAGTAATGTAGGGACCAGTGTGTGATATAGTGGGTGAAGCCTCTGCCTAAGCCAGTATCCTATACAGGCTCAGGTTCAAGACCCGGCTGCTCCGCTTCTGATCCAGCTCCCTGCTCATGTGCCTGGGAAAGCTGCAGAAGATGGCCCAAGTGCTCGGGGCCCCTGCACTCATGTGAGAGACCCAGATGAAGCTCCTGGCTCCAGCCTGGCACAGCTCTGGCTGTTGTGGCCATTTGGGGAGTGAACCAGCAGATGCAAGATCTCTCTCTTCCTCCCCCTCCTCCTCCACTCTCTGTAACTACAAATTTCAAAATAAATAAATCTTTTTTTAAAAAAATAGTAATGTAATAGCTAAAAATCAGGAGTCTTTTATGCAAGAGTACTTAAAAATTTTCTTGGGAAAATGGAATTAAGAGATACATTTAGGTATCTGGTGCAGCAGTTAAGATGTCACTTGGAATGTCCCTGATTGGAGTGCCTAGGTTTGAGTCTGGCTCCACTCCCAAATCCAGCTTCCTGCTAATGTGCACCAGGAGGCAGCCGGTGATGGCTCATGTGCTTACTTGTGTCCCTGCCATGCACCAGGGATTTCTGGATTGAGTTCCAGGCTCCTGCCTCCACCTGGCCCAGCCTTGACCTTTGTGCACATTTGGGGAGCAAATCAGCAGATGGGAGCTCTCTCTCCATTTCAAATGAAATAACAGTTTTCGAAAAAGCAATTTGGGGGGCCAATGTGGTGGCGTAGTAGGTTAAGCCATTCCTGCATCCCATACAAATGCCAGTTTGAGTTCCACCTCCTCCGCTTCCAATCCAGTTCCCTGCTAATGCGCCTGGGAAAGCAACAGAAGATGGCCCAAGTGGTTGGGACCCTGCACCCACGTGGGAGACCAGATGGAGTACTAGGCTTCTGGCTTCCACCTGATCCAGCCCTGGCTGTTGGGGCTTTTTGGGGAGTAAACCAGCAGATGGAAGATCTCTCTTTAACTCTGCTTTTCAAATAAATAAAATAGATATTTAATAAGTCTTTGAATGAAAAATAAGAGAAAGAAGTGTTCCTGTCTTGCCCAGACTCTATACAAAAAAGCAACTAAACCACAGGGGGAAATATATATATATATATAAATGGTAGGGGAAAAGGACAAAAAGTTGGCAAGTTCTGCTTGCCATAATAATTTAAGATTTATTTTAAAGTCAGAGTGAGAGAGAGAAGGAGGGAAGGGAGGGACAAACAGAGATTTACCATCTGCTGGTTCACTTCCCAAATGGCCACAACCACTAGGCCTGGGCCAGGCTGAAGCAAGGAGCAAGAAGCTCTAGTCAGGTCTCCCATGTGAGTGTAGTCCCAAGGACTTGGACCATCTGCTGCTGCCTTCCCAGGTAAGTTAGCAGGGATCTGGATCACAAGTGGAACAGCTGGGATTCAAACTGGCACTCTGATATGGGCTGGCTAAGCCATTGTGCCATGACACTGGCCCCTGCCAGGGCAGTTCTCAAAGACTGAATGGGCAAGGCCTCCAGGGGACACTGATAGGCTCAGGGTGTGACATGACAGATGTATACACAGATGTTCCACTCACGGCCTGCTCCTCCTCCTGCTCCCACACTCTTCCCCTACTGGGACTAAGTCTGGGGGTGTGGGGTACCATGGCCAACGACAGGGTTGGGGCTGCTCCACACAAGATCACAGCTCACGTCGAAGCCAGACAGGCACGCTCAGAGTTGAAGAATTAGCAGATAGTAGAACCCTGAGCCGGCTCGACAGAGTTGATCAAGTCCCATGAACGTGTTCCAGGTATTTACTAAAAGGTTACAGTCTCACCTGGTATTCATTTTGTTAAATTCTTGGGGCAGGCATTTGGCACAGTGGTGAAGCCACTGCTTGGGCGCCCTGCAAGTTAGAGTACCTAGGTTCAAGTCCCAGCCCAGTTTCCGAATCCAGCTTCCTGCTAATGCACACCATGGGAGGCAGCAAATGATGGGTCAAGTGTTTGGGTCCCTGCCACCCATGTGGAAGACCTGGATGGGGTTCCAGGTCCCTGACTTCAGCCTGGCCTAATCCTGGCTGTTGTGGACACTTAGGGAGTGAATCAGCTGATGGAAGATTGCTCTCTCTCTCTCTCTCCCCTGCCCCTTTGTGTTTCAAAGAAATTTCTTAAAAATTTTTTGGAGAATTATTATGTACTTGAAAAAGTAGACTGACAGAGAAGGAAAGACAGAAAGAGATCTCCCACCTGCTGGTTTACTCCCCAAATGGCTGCAACGGTTGGGGCTGGGCCAGGACAAAGGCAGGAGCCAGGAACTCCACCCCGTCTCCCACATGGTTGGCAGGGGCACAGGTATATGGGCCATCTTCTGATGCCTCAACAGAGCATTAGCAGGGAGCTGGACTGGGAGTGGAGCAGCCAGGACCTGACACCACGAACCAATACAGAATGCTGGTGTCGCAGGTGGCAGCTTACCCCACTGCACCACAATGCCGGCCCCTTAAACATTCTTAAGATAGCTTAAGGGGGCTCACTAGGCTAATCCTCCACCTAGCGGCGCCGGCACACCGGGTTCTAGTCCCGGTCAGGGCGCCGGATTCTGTCCCGGTTGCCCCTCTTCCAGGCCAGCTCTCTGCTGTGGCCAGGGAGTGCAGTGGAGGATGGCCCAAGTGCTTGGGCCCTGCATCCGCATGGGAGACCAGGAGGAGGCACCTGGCTCCTGGCTTCGGATTGGCGCAGATCCGGTTGTTGAAGCCATTTGGGGAGTGAACCAGTGGATGGAAGACCTTTCTTTCTCTCCCTCTCACTGTCTGTAATTCTCTCTCTCAAATAAATAAATAAAAATCTTTAAAAAAAAAAAAAAAAAGAAAAGATAACTCAGGGGCTGGCGCTGTGGCACAGCGGGTTAAAGCCCTGGCCTAAAGCGCCAGCATTCCATATGGGCGCCGATTCTAGTTCTGGCTGCTCCTCTTCTGATCCAGCTCTCTGCTGTGGCCTGGGAAAGCAGTAGAAGATGGCCCAAGTCCTTGGGCCCCTACACCCCCGTGGGAGACCAGAAGAAGCTCCTGGCTTCGGATTGATGCAGCTCCGGCCATTGTGGCCATCTGAGGAGTGCAGCAGATGGAAGACCTCTCTATCTCTACCTCTCTCTGTAACTCTTTCAAATAAATAAAATAAATCTTAAAAAAAAAAAAAAAAAGATAGCTTAAGCACCAGGCCAGAATTCCTTCAGGTGTCAAGTGCAAATCTGGACATATCCTATACATGTCCCCTACCCCCGCAAATGATAGGTCTGAGGATGGTAAGAGTAACATATTGCTAAAATAATCGCTCAGTTCAAAGGGTCTTCATAAAGTTCTTCAAAGGTGCCTATGATGCATTCGGAAACTTTGTGTAAAATGTTAACTTGTCTGTTAGTCCTTCTCTCCAGGAACCTTCTGCACTATCCCTGTGATGTGACCAGGCATTGCTGCGGCTGAGGGAATCTTAGCCCCCTCACAGCCCAGCATAGGAAAAAGAAAAAGGAAAGCTCCCTCGAACTTGGGTGATATTTAAATTCAGACATCAGCAACCACACTACCACTGTGGTTAAAACACTTAATTCATAAAAGCTGGGTGCTTGCGAAGTCTTTGGGTTCCGATCAACGTTGCCCTTTTCAACTCATCCCGTAAGTCCTCCACCCCTAAGCCCATGAACTTTTTCCCAGTAGGGGCGATGTCTTACTCATCTTTGAACTCTTAAGGACAGAGCCTGGCAAAACATCAGGTGTTGATTGGATTAACACATCCAATTCCCCCAGGTCCACAGACCTTACTTGGCCTTGGCAGGACACAACAAAGAATGGATTTTGTTGAAGCTTCAGAGGGAGAAAAAAAATCCCTGAATCTTATATTAATAAAGTAGAAGCTTGAACTTCATACTTATAAAAAATTAGCTTTCTTAAATAAGAGAAATTGCAAATGGAAAAACATACAAGTATCAGCAAGGTGGGAAAACATTTAGCAAAAGTTATTTCCAAAAATAGGATGGCATTTTAAGAAAGCTAGGAACTCAACAGTCAGACTGCTTAGGGTCACACTGAAAAATTTTTGGAATCACAGGGAAAAGATCTTAATTTCCAGAAACTACTCAGTAACAACTGCTCTATTTGGCACAGAGAATCAAATCATTTTTATAACTTCCAATGAACATAATTAAGCTTTTGAGTTGTCAAAAGCATTTTGTTAATATTTAAAAAAGCAAAACCAAAAAAGAATGAGTCAATATCATGATCATATGAAGGCAAGTAAATCTAAAGAGAAGCTAATTATTCAAAGAAATGTTGAAAAGCCTTACCTTTGGGTTATATTCTGCATTTTTTGCATGCAGAGCTATTTTCTTCAGATCCAGTTTACAGGCCAGGTTTACAGTGGAAACTATGTTCCTGACAGAACAAGTCAGCTTAGAAAATTATGTCAGATATAAAGACTTAAAGACAGAACAACATACTACCTTCCCACTTCATAGGTTGGCCCTTAGCAACTGCTAGGGGCGAGTGTTGTTCTCACTGTGAAATACACAGTGACTTGCTCCCCCGGAAGACGTAAGATCACAGCATGAAATACTGAAATGGTTTATCCTAACATGACATGATCAAGTGACTAAAGCTAACTTTTAAATCTCTTTTGGCCGGCGCTGCAGCTCACTAGGCCAATCCTTCGCCTGCAGCACCGGCACCCCGTATTCTAGTCCCGGTTGGGGCGCCGGATTCTGTCCCGGTTGCCCCTCTTCCAGTCCAGCTCTCTGTTGTGGCCTGGGAGTGCAGTGGAGGATGGCCCAAGTGCTTGGGCCCTGCACCCACATGGGAGACCAGGAGAAGCACCTGGCTCCTGCTTCTGATCGGCGCAGTGCGCCGGCCATAGCAGCCACTTGGGGGGGGGGGGTGTGAACCAATGGTAAAGGAAGACCTTTCTCTCAGTCTCTGTCTCTCTCACTGTTTTACTCTGCCTGTCAAAAAAAGAAAAGAAAAGAAAAGAAAAGAAAAGAAAAGAAAAATCTCTTAAAACTATGCCTGAAAACAGAAACCACAGTTCCAAATCAATTTTCAAATCAAATTCAATTTTCCATCTATTTTTTGTGTTTATCCACCCCTAACCACAATTCTCAGCCAGTTCAATGCTTTAGCATAACATATAGAATCCTCCAAGAACATACATATGAAGCCTAAACCCCCTCTTAGGGGAGCAATTAGTGCTTTGTTTTGTAAATAATTAAACTGTCAAAAATACCAATTCAGTAAGAACTGCTCAAAAATCATGAAATCAGAAATTCTCCCCTCTACACTCCTATCCTGGAATTAGCTGACATCATGTCCAGAAATATAAGATGTGTACCCAGAAACTTCCCTCAGTTTAAAACGAAAGTCACAAAACACAACTTACTGGAGTTGCGGCACAATTCCAGAACATTCTGAAACAGGGGTCATCGGCGTCATGGGAGTTATGGACGCCAGAGGCAAGGGGTCGGAGCTGGGTTTCTCAGGAGGGGGCTGGACCGAGCCAGCACCCCCAGCCTGAAGCTGCGCGTGGGCATTCAGCAAACGGCTGTTCTCTGAGTCCAGCCCAGCGTCCTGCTCGCTGGGTGACGGCAGCCTGCTCCGTAGACCGTCATTTTCACAACTGTCTTCCATCTCAAGCTTGTTTCTAAGCACAGCCTGGCCTTTGTTTTCTTGGGTAAGTTCATCTGGTAGGAAGCTGAGATCCACAGATGAGAAGTCCTCAGCTGTCTCTTTGGCGTCTCCGGGATGTGGGTTAAAGGCAGCCTCTGGATTGGCCGGACTAGGTGTGTACATGTCGTAAGGTACAATGGGGCTGAACAGGGGAGCCACTGCTGGGGCTGGGTCATCCTAAACAGTTCCCAAAACACACACAGAGACAGAACACAACAAACAGCACAGCATGTTACACACCCAAGGGGACCACAGTGGCAGTCGGGCATTGGGTGCAGTATGATGGATAGTTCAAGTGTGTATATGGGGCCCGCACTGTGGCACAGCAAGTAAAGCCACCACCTGTGATGCCAGCATCCGATATGGGTGCCTGTCCTGTCCGGGCGGCTCTACGTCGGATCCAGCTCCCTGCTTATGGCCGGGAAAGCAGAAGATGGCCCAAGTGCTTGAGCCCCTGCACCCACATGGGAGACCCGGAAACAGTTCCAAAGTCACTGCCTGTAAAAATCCATGCATCTTGGGCTGGCGCCGCGGCTCACTAGGCTAATCCTCCACCTTGCGGCGCCGGCACACCAGGTTCTAGTCCCGGTCGGGGTGCCGGATTCTGTCCCGGTTGCCCCTCTTCCAGGCCAGCTCTCTGCTGTGGCCAGGGAGTGCAGTGGAGGATGGCCCAGGTGCTTGGGCCCTGCACCCCATGGGAGACCAGGAGAAGCACCTGGCTCCTGCCTTCAGATCAGCGCGGTGCACCGGCCGCAGCGCGCCAGCTGTGGCAGCCATTGGAGGGTGAACCAACAGCAAAAGGAAGACCTTTCTCTCTGTCTCTCTCTCTCACTGTCCACTCTGCCTGTCAAAAAAAAAAAAAAAAAAATCCATGCATCTCTTTTTCATAATGCACCTTTCTGTGAAGTCTTTGAAAATCCCTCCCACTCACGTCCTGCCTCTTTCTACGAAGCACCATTAGGGTGCTCACACAGGTTCACAGCACACTGCAAAGTACTTGTGGAAATGCAGAAAAGCATTTTGCACAAAGTGTCTTTCCTCCTTCAGTCACCTCTAGCCACTTGCTGCGCTCCAGTTTTCCTCACTGAGCAACCGCATTTGAGTGTACTTCAAAAAGAACAGCTTTCCTGTACAAATGGACTTACCTGTAACTTCAATTTATTTAAATAATTTTTAAAAAATATTTTATTTATTTATTTGAGAGGCAGAGTTAGAGAGAGAGAAAGAGGTCTTCCATCTGCTGGTTCACTCCCCAAATGGCAGCAATGGCTGGAGCTGGGCCAATCTGAAGCCAGGAGCTTCTTCTGGGTCTCCCATATGGGTGCAGGGGCCCAAGGACTTGGGCCATCTCCTGCTGCTTTTCCAGGTCATAGCAGAGAGCTGGATCAGAAGTGGCGCAGCTGGGACATGAACTGCAGCCCACATGGGTTGCTGGTGCTGTAGGTGGAGGCTTAGCCTACTATGCCAAAGTGCTGGCCCCTATTTAAATAATTTTTTTGACAGGCAGAGCGGACAGTGAGAGAGAGAGACAGAGAGAAAGGTCTTCCTTTGCCGTTGGTTCACCCTCCAATGGCTGCCGCGGCCGGTGCGCTGTGGCCGGTGCACCGCGCTGATCCGAAGGCAGGAGCCAGGTACTTATCCTGGTCTCCCATGGGGTGCAGGGCCCAAGCACCTGGGCCATCCTCCACTGCACTCCCTGGCCACAGCAGAGGGCTGGCCTGGAAGAGGGGCAACCGGGACAGAACCCGGCGCCCCGACCGGGACTAGAACCCGGTGTGCCGGCGCCGCAAGGCGGAGGATTAGCCTAGTGAGCCGCGGCTCCGGCCTGTTCTGCTTTTCCATACCCACTTCTCGAGACGCTCCTGCCCACGTCTGGCTAGATCCTGTGGAGCTGCTCTGCTGCTCCAGATCCAGCAGGTGGCAGAGGCGGCCAACTGTCCACAGCAATGCTTAGGAACACGAAACCATCCTCCTGGAATAATTTTTTTTTTAAATTTCTATTTCATTTTGAAGTATGTAGCCGCCATAAGGGCCCTAAGAAAAGTGGATTGGGGACAACGGGCCCCAGTGGCCTCTCTCGTCCAGGCTGGGAAGGACACTCAGGACAAAAATCTGCAACAGCTGGTGTCGCCGCGCCATTTTCCCAGCAGGACAAAGCTCTCACTTCAGCAAGCAACTTAGGGCAACAGCAGCAAGATGCTGCCCGTCCCCGGAACCCGGCAATCCCCTTCCCGGGTTACCTGCAGGAACACACCTAGGACAAGGTACGTGTGGTGTGCCCACTCATCCTTGGCCTCACATCTGAACTTTAAAAAAAAAAAAAAAAAGATGTATTTATTTGAAAGGCATAGTGACAGGAGGGAAAGAGAAAGATCATTCATCCTCTGGCTTACATCCCAAAGTGGCAGGGGCCCAGGTACTTTTGGCCATGTGCTGCTGCTTCCCCAGGCACATTAGCAGGGAGCTGGATTGGAAGTGGGGAAGCTGGGACTTGAAAGGGTGCTAATATGCAATGCCCCATGGCAAGCGGCAGCTTAACCTGTTGTGCCACAGTGCCAGCCCCAGAACCTTTTCTGCCTGTGTTAAATGCTACAGAACATCACTGTCACGGTCATAAAATACCCTGCAAGAAGAGTGGCTCTCTTGCCTTTTTTTTTTTTTAAAGCACTCCTTCCTGGGGCTGTCACTATGGCACAGCAGGTAAAGCAGCCGCCTGCGGTGCCAGCATCCCATATGGGCGCTGGTTTGAGTCCCAACTGCTCCACTTCTGATCCAGCTCTCTGCTATGGCCTAGGAAAGCAGTAGAAGATGGCTCAAGTCCTTGGGCCCCTGCACCCACATGGGAGACCAAGAAGAAGCTCCTGGCTTCGGAGCAGCTCTGGCCAGTGCAGCCATCTGGGGAGTGAACCAGCGGATGGAAGACTTCTCTGTAACTTAGCCTTTCAAATAAATAAAATTTTTTTTTTTTTTGACAGGCAGAGTGGACAGTGAGAGAGAGAGACAGAGAGAAAGGTCTTCCTTTGCCATTGGTTCACCCTCCAATGGCCGCCACAGCAGGCGCGCTGCGGCCGGCGCACCGCACTGATCCGATGGCAGGACCCAGGAGCCAGGTGCTTTTCCTGGTCTCCCATGGGGTGCAGGGCCCAAGCACCTGGGCCATCCTCCACTGCACTCCCTAGCCACAGCAGAGAGCTGGCCTGGAAGAGGGGCAACCGGGACAGAATCCAGCGCCCCGACCGGGACTAGAACCCGGTGTGCCGGTGCCGCTAGGCAGAGGATTAGCCTAGTGAGCCGCGGCGCCGGCCCAAATAAATAAATTTTAAAAACAAAACAAAACAAAACACCTCCTTCCTCTACCATAATACTTGACTCTTAAAGAAAAACTTTCAGGCAGGTGTTTAATACAGCAGTTAATATGCAGGTTGGAACACCTGTTCTAACCAGAATTCCTGGCTTGGAGTCCCAGCCCAGCTCTCGATTCCAGCTTCCCGCTATCATGAACCCCAGGAGGCAGGAGGTGATGGGTCTAGTGGTTGGGTCCCTGCCACCCATGTAGGAGATCTGGATTGAGTTCCTAGCTCCCCACATGTCAGCCCTTGTGGGCATTTGGGGAGCAAACCAGTGGGTGAGAGAATTCGGTCTCCCTGCCTCCTACAAAAACCCCCAACAAACCAAAACCTAAGGATGTTTAGCTGCAAGAAGCCACAGGTGTCTCCTGTCCACCTGTTAGCAAACCCAACGTCCATCAGCTCCACCTGGCAGAGTTTATTTCCGGGGGCCTACAGCCGGCGTCTAAAGACGCCACCTCCTGCAAGTGCAGCATCAGTGCCTTAGGGGATGGTGACGCACAAGGCGAACACAGGTGCCTGCTTCTTAGGAAGGAGGAATGGGCACTGGAACCTGGAGACGGAGTGCTCGGCTACTAACAGCGAGGGGCTGCCGTTCTGCACGGCAACCGTGGGCAAGTTACCCGTCCTCTAACTCCAGGCTGAGAGGGCGGATAATCAGGCCCACCCCTCAGGGTGCCCCCCAACTTGAAGGGACATAACCGAGACAAAGCCCTTGGCGCCGAGCAACAGGGGCTGCGGCTTCCAGGCTCACCTGGGCAGCAAATCGGTCCAGGTAAAGCTCCAGGTATGTGTCCTCCTCCATGGGCAGAGGTCCCGCTGTCGGGGGCAGGGGCCAGTAGGGGTCACGCGCCCCGACGCGTCCGGCGAGCAGCTGCGGAGCCCGTGCGCTCTGGGCGCAGAAGCCATTTATCAGCTCGGCGGCCCGGCCGGGGCGAGGCGGGGCCAGGCGGACTCTGCGCTGCCGTAGACCGCGCGAGCCGAGCGATGGGCCCGGCCCGCGGGCACGAGGAAGCGCAGGTGGCTACAGGTGCGCAGGGAGAGGAGGGCGGGCAGCGCGCACGGACGCCAGCGGGGAAAGGGAAGCGGCTCCTCCCCGGCGCTCAGCCACCGCACCCTCGACGGCGAAGCACCCGGGCCGGCGAGCAGGTTTCCTTGAGGACTTGCAGGTGCTGCCATGCTTCCGAAAGGAGAGAAATTGGGCTAAGTAGCAGAAACATGAATTCGTTGGATAATGAGAAAATAACGGATTTTCTTTCTTGAAAAATTTATTTACGAGGGAGATAGAGGAGAATGAGAGAGAGAATGAGTCGCCTGGGGCTGGCGATGTGACAGAGCCGGTAAAGCCGCCGCCTGCAGTGCCTGTATCACATATGGGCGCCGGTTCGAGTCCCGGCTGTTCCTCCTCCAATCCAGCTCTCTGCTGTGGCCTGGGAAAGCAGTAGAAGACCTGCATAGGAGACCCAGAAGAAGCTCCTGGCTCCTGGCTTCTGATCGGCTCAGCTCAGGCTGTTGTGGCCAATTGGAAGACCTCCTCTCCCTCCCTCTCCTTCTCTTTCCCTCTCTTTCCCTCTCTCTCCCTCTCCCTCTCCCCCCCTCTCTTGCTGTCTCTCTGTAATTCTGCTTTCAAATAAATATATTTTTTAAAAAAGATAATGCAAAACCAAATATTCAGAGATTTTTCTTTCTTGAAGTCATTTAAATTTTCAAGGCTTCTCTCTCATGAGTTGAACTTATCCATGCAGAATGATTCTATGAATATAATTAATGCTTTTTGCGTGGGATGATTCAGAATATACGTGGAGGCGCACACACATAAAATACGTCTTTCCTACTTGATTATACTGAGGGCAGGAACTTTGATTATGCAGCGTTGTGTCTCTGTACTGAGCTCATCTCAATAAAACTTGCTGGATAGAGGGAACTCTCAGGATGGAACATGGGAGCGTATTATAGGAGAGAGAGATTGCTCTAAGGATCAGATCACGAGACATCTGAGAGAATTTTGAAACAAGAATAAAGGAAACGGGCTGAGTGTCTGGTGCAGCCATTACGCTGCTGGTTGGGATGCCCGCGTGCCATATCAGAATGCCTGGGTTTGAGTCCTGGTTCTGCTCCTGACCCCTGGGAGGCAGCAGTTGATTGGGTCCCTGCCACCTACATGGGGGACCCAGATGGAGTTCTGGGCTCCTGGCTTAGCCCTGGTCCAGCCCCAGAGGTTGTGGGCATTTGGGGAGTGAACTAGTGGGTTGGAGTCTGTCTGTCTGCCTCTTAAAGGATAAAGGAAACATTTTGATACAGCTGGAATTTTACATAGCGGTTCTAATTTAATGTACAGTTTTTTAGGTTTCCTATTAAATGTTTAGCCCAGTACCTGATGAAAAGTTCAATAAATATTAGCTCTGGATGTTGTTATTAGACTGTTTTGAATTGTGTCACCTTGCATTCATGTGTGGAAGTTCTAATCCAATTATTGCTGTCACTATAAGAAGAGGACATTGAAGGGACACTGGGATTGTGTGCACACAGAGAGAAAGGCCATGCAAGGCCACAGGAAGGAGGTGGCCACCTGCAGGTGAAGGAGAGAGGCCCCGGGAGAAAGCAGGCCCGCCGACACCTTGATCTTGGACTTCGCAGACCGTGTGCTTCGCTGGCCCATGGATTTGTGCAGTGTCTCAGCATGCATGTTAGCCAGCAGGCTGAGCTGCCCCAAAGCCCCTGCCCCGGTATACACACGCCTTCTCCCAACCCTTCACACACGTTGCAGATGGAATTAAGGCCCCAACTCCGCTGAGTTTAAGAAAGTAAGATTATCTTAGACGGGGCTGGTGCTGTGGCATAGTGGATGAAAGCCCCGGTCTTCGACGCCGGCATCCCATTTGGGCACTGGTTCATGTCCTGGTTGCTCCTCTTCCAAGCCAGCTCCCTGCTAACGGCCTGAGAAAGCAGTGGAGGATGGCCCCAGTGCTTGGGCCCCTGCGTCCAGGTGGGAGACATGGAAGAGGCTCCTGGCTTCAGGTTTTGGAATGGCACAGCTCTGGCCATTGTGGCCATTTAGGGAGTGAGACAGTGGATGGAAGACCTGTCTCTCCCTCTCTCTGTCTGTGGCTCTGCCTCTCAGATCAATACATAAAAATCTAAAAATTTTAAAAAAGATGATCTTGGCTAAGCCTGACCTAATCGAGGGAGCTGTTCTTTGAGAGGGAGACTCCAAGCATGAGGAGGATTTGCCAGGCGGGAGACTGCATTGCTGGCTTTGGAGGTGGGTGCGGACACATTGCCAGGAATGTGGGTGACCTCCAGGACCTGCAAAGGCTATCGTTTGACAGTCAGCAAAGAAATGAGGACTTAGTCCTGTAACTGAAAGGAACTGAATTTGGCCGTCACAATGAGCTTCCAGAAAGGAGCTCTGTGGGGCCAACCCTTGATTTCTGCCCGGTCAGACCCTGAGCAGAGAACCTGGCCACACTGCTCACAGACTTCTGACCTACATGGCAGTGAGCCTATTTTTTTTTTTTTTTTTTAGATTTATTTTATGTCTTTGAAAGAGTTACAGCAGAGGTAGAGACAGGTCTTCCATACACTGGTTCACTCACCCCCTCCCCCGCCCCGAAATGGCTGCAATCAGGAACCAGGTTCTTCTTCCGGGTCTCCCAAGCTGGTGCAGGGGCACAAGCACTTGGGCCATCCTCTGCTGCTTTCCCAGGCACATTAGCAGGGAGCTGGAATGGAAGTGGAGCAGCCAGACTTGAACCAGTGCCCATGTGGGATGCTGGCACTGCAGGCGGGGGCTTTAACCCACTGCACCACAGTGCCTGACTTGGCAGTGGACCTATTAATGGTGGTGTTCAAGGCAGCTAACTACAAGTGATCTGTCATTCCACAGTAGGGAGCGAATACATTTTAAGTGATGAATAATAACAGACACACAGATTTGCAGCATAAATGATAAAGCAAAGGAATAAAATGTTAATATTTGTGTCAAAATTGGTACAAGAGTGTTCCTTAAAGCCTACTATTTTTAGTTTTGTAATTTTTGTAAGTTTGAAATTATTTCCAAGTAAGTTTCAATATAAAAGACTAGTGGGTGTTTCATGGGTGGTTTTTGAAAATTTTAAAAAATGTGTTTACTGGGGCCATCATTTGTGGCCATCATTGTGGTGCGGCAAGTTAAGCCATCGCCTGTGATGCCAGCTTCCCATATGAGCACTGGCTCACGTCCTTGCTGCTCCACTTCAGATCCAGCTCCCTGCTAATGCCAGGCAGAAGTGATGAGCCTGGAACTCCATGTGGGTTTCCCACATGGGTAGCAGGGGCTCAAGTATTGAGTTATCACCTGCTGCTCCCCAGGAAGCAGGAAGCTGGATCAGAAGCAGAGCTGGGCCTTGACCCAGGCACTCTGTTATGGGATGTAGGTGTCCCAAGCAGCACCTTAACTACTGTACCAAATGCCCACCCCTTGTTAGTATCTTTAAGAGGGCCCCATGCTGTGGCATGGTGGGTAAAGCCGCTGCCTGCAGTGCTGGCATCCCATATGGGTGTCAGTTGGAGTCGTGGCTGCTCCTCTTCTGATCTAGCTCTCTGCTATGGCCTGGGAAAGCAGTAGAAGATGGCCCAAGTCCTTGTCCCCCTGCACCAGCTTGGGAGACCCGGAAGAAGCCCCCTGGCTTCGATGGGTGCAGCTTTGGCCATTGTGGCCATCTGAAGAGTGAACCAGCGGATGGAAGACCTCTCCTCCCCCCCCCATCACTCTCTGCCTCTGCTTCTCTGTAACTCTGCCTTCAAATAAAAATAATTAAATATTTTAAAAAATCTGTAAGAGAATAATGCCAAGGCTTAGGTATACCATGTCAATGGTCATGAAGAGTCTTCAGGAGAGGCCAACTCTGGAAAATGCCTTTGGCTCTTTCAAAAAATTTTATTTATTTTTTTAATTTTTAAAAAGATTTATTTATTTAAAAGTCAGAGTTACAGAGAAAGAGAGAGACAGAGAGAGAAATCTTCCATTTGCTGGTTTATTCCCCAAATGACCACAGTAGCCAGGGGTATGCCAGGCTGAAGCCAGGAGCCAGGAGCTTCTTCCGGGTCTTCCACATGAGTGCAGGGGCCAAGCTTTTGGGCCCTCTTTCACTGCTTCCCCAGGTACATTAGCAGGGAGCTGGATTGGAAGTGAAGTGGCTAGGACTTAAACCAATACCCATATGGGATGTCAGCATCACTGGTGGTGGCTTAGCCTGCTATGCCACAGCGCCAGCTCCAAAATGCCTTTGGGGACCGGCCCTGTGGCATAGCGGGTGAAACTGCCACCTGCAGTGCCAGCATCCCATATGGGCGCCGGTTCTAGTCCTGGCTGCTCCACTTCCGATCCAGCTCTCTGCTATGGCCTGGGAAAGCAGTAGAAGATGGCCCAAGTGCTTGGGCCCCTGCACCCACTGGAAGACCTGGAAGAGGCTCCTGGCTCCTGGCTTTGGATCGGCCCAGCTCTGGCCATTGTGACCATCTGCGGAGTGAACCAATGGGTGGAAGACCTCTCTCTCTGTAACTCTGCCTTTCAAATAAATTAATTAATTAATCTTTTTTTAAAAATGCCTTTGGGCTGGTGCTGCGGCTCACTAGGCTAATCCTCCACCTTGCAGCACCAGCACACCGGGTTCTAGTCCTGGTCGGGGCGCCGGATTCTGTCCCGGTTGCCCCTCTCCCAGGCCAGCTCTCTGCTGTGGCCTGGGAGGGCAGTGGAGGATGGCCCAAGTGCTTGGGCCCTGCACCCCATGGGAGACCAAGAGAAGTACCTGGCTCCTGCCATCGGATCAGCGTGGTACG